TACAAAGGGTCAAAATGAGCTGCCTAGGATTAGCCTTAGATGGGGTGAGGACCTCCATCGTCCATGAAGAGCTTGGAAATTAGGTGCTGCTCCTCCACATTGGAAGGACTACGCTGAGGTGGCTCAGGTATCAGATAAGAATACCTCCTTGTTGCCTCCCGGGTGCCACGTAAGTACATTCCACTAGGAGGAGGACTCGGGGCTGACTGAAAGGACAGATTATACAATGGCCCTAAAAAGTATTTGGCAGCCACATATTGTGAAAGTTGTGAGGACATGTGCCGACTTAAGCAGGGGGACCTTTTGAGCACTACAGGATTTGAATCCATGAAATCATACTGTGGTCTGAGCTCGCTGGTCACTGGTTAGTTACCCCCATTTAGATCTGGGCTGGCTCCTCAACGCTCTCGAGATCGGTTGTGTCACACAAGGTCAGATCTTGCATGGAGCCCCAGGTCGAGGGAGATTGTCCCACCTGACCCATTCTCACTAAACTGATTGTCTATTGGCTTGATGCCTCTTCTATGCAGGAGTACAGTCGTGTCCCTGATGTCCTTAGACAGCCTGTGGTGTTGGTGGAGGTTGGAGTCTGACTGAAGGTGTAGACAGGTATCTTTTATACAGATAAGTTCAAACAGGTGCTGTTAATACAGGTAACCAGTGGAGAATTCTTGCTTGTTTTCTGGTGCTGAATATTTATCCTCTGCACTATTACACAAATAAATTCTTTAAAAATCATACAATAGTTGAAGTGTACCTTTGATGAAAACCACAGACCTCTCTCATCTTTTTAAGTGAAACATGTACAATCAGTGACTGCCAAATAATCGCTGCCCCATCCTCTTGCCTGGGCAAGCCTTGAGATCCCCAAAGAGGAGCCGAAGAATGCTGCTGAGGAGCAGGATGCCTTGGATTCCTTCCTCAGTCTGTTACCTGCACAAACAAGCCTTGGATGAATGTTTTCTACCTTTGCCTCATGTTTTTTTTATTTTACCCCAAAAATCTACAAAAAGATTTAAAGCCTTTTCCTCTTTTTGAAGCCTCAGAGGCATTTGCACGTGTTCGACATGGTTAAACCACTGATGGTGTTCTTCCTCCAACGACTCCACCAGTCTTAATTATTAGGAAAATGCTCATAGATGTTACACTAATGTTCATTTACAGTGATTTGTAGTAAAGATCTTAGCTGTATTCTTCTTACTTGCTGGTGGACGATTTCCTTCTTAAAACTATGGGGAAAAAAAGTAAAACAGCAAGTAAACACAAAGGGCAGCATGTGTTAATACGGGATATGTGAGCACATGTAGGTGGAATGCACTTGAAGTGTTCATCATCCTGACAGGATCAGCGTGTGTACTGTGTGGGAAACCAACTGATTGTGGGGCAACCATGCTGGGAATAAATGACAATTGTGACATATTGGTGTGGGATCTGGGGGAATAGAGAAGATTATATTACCGGCAAAGTCACTGGAGCAGTCCATCACCCACTCACATGCAGTTAACATACACCCTATGCTAAGTTTGTGTGTATTTGTATGTTTGTGCCTGTGTGTGTGTGTGTGTGTGTGTGTGTGTGTGTGTGTGTGTGTGTGTGTGTGTGTGTGTGTGTGTGTGTGTGTGTGTGTGTGACCAAAGCTGACAGATGGAGCAGACAGCCTGCACATAAGGACATGAGCTTGCGTGTGTGTGTGCGTGTGTGTGTGTGTGTGTGTGTGTGTGTGTGTGTGTGTGTGTGTGTGTGTGTGTGTGTGTGTGTGTGTGTGTGTGTGTGTGTGTGTGTGTGTGTGTGTGTGTGTGTGTGTGTGTGTGACCAAAGCTGACAGATGGAGCAGACAGCCTGCACATAAGGACATGAGCTTGCGTGTGTGTGTGCGTGTGTGTGTGTGTGTGTGTGTGTGTGTGTGTGTGTGTGTGTGTGTGTGTGTGTGTGTGTGTGTGTGTGTGTGTGTGTGTGTGTGTGATGGAATCCAATATTCTTATTTCTCAGTCTTTCTGTCCCTCAGATCCCCCCAGTCCCCACCCAGTAATGATATATTTCTATCTCAGTTGCGCACCATAACCCAGGGAGACCTCCTCGGATATCACCACATGTAGGAGTTGTTTACACACCGCTGAACCGGTGGGGGGTGGGGTGGGGGGGCTGTGTGGGGACCAAGAAAGACAGAGATGAGATGAATATTTATTTGAAATAAGGTAGAGGATCTTTGCTCTCAGAATGGTATTATCATACTCTCTGCCCTAAACTGTAAAGGTTATTGCTTCATCATGTTATGCGGTAGCTCTATTCCAAAGGGGCTTAAGTTGGGGACGAAACAGGGATTTCATTCAGATTCACTCGCGGCCACATCCTTGTATTGTCAAACTTGTAAGTCAAGGACAGGGAACTATTACTCCCGACGTACCTTGCACCGTTTAAGGTTGTCTGCTGACTTTCCAATATGCTATCACTCAGGTCTGCCTGAAGAGTCGTACGGCGACTGAGCAACCTTTTGAAATAGTTCCAGCTATTTCTTCATTTGTGGGTAATTGTCCTGGACTGCTGTGGGTAACAAGGCCATCATTATTCTAAGATTCTCCCTAGAAAGAAGCCATTCAGTAAAGTGAGGAGGAGAGAGCTGCTGGAGTGCCTTTGAAAGGGGGAAAAAGGCAATGACGAGGTTGATGAGACCAAGAGTGACATTGTGAACGTTAAAATAAGAAATCGAGCTTGGGCATTTTAAAGAAGTTTTCTAGTTAAAAGTAAAATACAGCCACTTTGGCGGTATTTGACAACCTTGCTCGCACACTACTTAAAAAGTCTGTGTTGGGATTACATTTATACAACCCAGCTCCCTGAGCTGGAGCAGATCAATGACCATTAAAGATGTAATTTCAAGATGGCTCCTGCGAGTCACAGTGGCATGAATAAAAGATGCCCAAGTTGTGCACAGGCAGAAAGAAAAAAGCATGTTCTCTCTAGCGTGTTACATGTGCATACACAGACAAATAATAGCATGATGTGACACAATATGAGACGTTTGATCACTTGTTGGATTTTAATTGAGGATAAATTAGGTAAGTAGAAGAAAAAAGGGGCATTTTATCTCCTCTTCAGCATTACTTTATTTAAACACGTGTCACCTTGAGTAAATAATAGCTTTTATCTAATTATTTATTATAGTTTTATTTCTCGTTTTACATTATTATGTTTTATTGCTTGCTTTGCGTATTTTATATGGTTATATTAGCATTGTTTCATTATTTAATGTTATTATTTTACTGTCTATATGATTTTATTGATTACTTATTTTCTTTGTCATTTATATCAGCTCTTTTATTATCATATTTTTCTCATTTTAATCCAGTCTTTTCTCTGTAGGGGCCCTCTGCCCCGGGGCCGGTGGTCGACTTTAGCGTCCTGGTTGCTCTATAGGTAGTGTTTAAGTGGAGGTGGGGGTCTATGCTCCCCCTCCTCTGAGCGCCCTGATTTAGTTGCTGTGGAAGACCTGATGCTGCCGGGGCAGATGGCTCCTCTGATGGCATTTCCTTGCCGTACCTTACTCGGCTCATCTGGACTCAGCCAAATATAAAATTTTACTGGTGTGTGTGTGTGTGTGTGTGTGTGCATATGTCTGTTAATGTTTTTAAACTGTTATGGGAATTTGGGGTCATTTTGTAAAGCACTTTGAGTAGCACTTTGTTTGAAAAGCGCTTTATAAATAAAATGTGATGATTGATTGATTGATTGATTGATTGATGAATCTTTTTAGAGGGGTTTCTAAGTGAACTTGTGTTTCTGGTGTGAGCGTGCAGAAGTTAACAGACTCAGCCTTGAAGCAGGCTGGATAAAATCGACACATCTCACTGTCCATTAAGACCAACATGATGGAGGTAGGCCAGCTGTCCGTTTTTAAATGCCATGGCGCAAAAGCGGACTGGCCTTCTCTTTTTCTTTTCTTTTTTTTATTTTCTTTTTTCTTTTTTTTTTGAGAGGGTGGGAAGTCATTATCATGAATCTTCAGTGGCTACATCTGAGCTGTGGATGCTCAGGGAGTTTTATGTCAGAGAACATCATGACACAAAGCTACCGGGCGCTGATAAAGCCTCTCCTCGTGTCCAGAAGTGTTCAGTGTTCATGGTCATCTGTGAGTAAACACACTGAAACAAACTGCTATGAAATCACTGTGGATTTACAGCAGCACTCATGTGGATTTGGTATAAGAATCAAATCAAATTGAATTTAATGTTTGGTTGAACTCAGTTTAATATTAAAATTTTATTACTGGAAAACAGCAGAGATTCTGGCATCAGCATACTTTGAGAGCTGTGTGAGGAGAGGTGCTCAGTGCAACTGGGGAAGTCCTCCAACACATTAGTTATATTGGTAAATGGCTTGGTTGGTTAGTTGGTTTTATTTTTTAACACAAGAGAAGAGTTTCTCTGTGATGAAGGTACGGACGGGGTTGTTCGCTGTGCCTGAAGACGAGAGAAAAGGTTTGTTTTTGGATCTTTGTATCGCTCAGATCAATAGTGACATCTTGTTAGTGCTGGCTGCCAAAAGTACACACACACACAGTAGTGTGTGTGTGTGTGTGTGTGTGTGTGTGTGTGTGTGTGTGTGTTTCTCAGCAAAATATCCATGACCCACCAGATGGAAATAATGAAACACCCAGAAATTATTCACAGGACATGCTTACAACAGTTTTAACAGTTCAATACAAATTTCAGAAAGTCTTAATTGGATAAACAAATAATCCACTTCCCAACCTCACGTTAGATATCTGCACATTACCCGAGCAAACTCAGTAATGGCTGTAACATGGTTATTTGTAATAGTCAGTAGCTGAGTCCTCACAACAAACACACTCGAAGCGCTCGTAATTCCAGGCCTTGCAGTTCTGCTAAATACAAGTTATATCTCACAAAGATAATGAGCAATATGCGTCCTTTCCAGGAATTCTTGGCCTTTAATTGTATGTGATGTGATGAATGTAACTTTGAATAAGTGATTCATTTCAATTTAGTTCAATTCAGTTTATTTATATAGCGCCAAATCATGACAAGTCGTCTCAAGGCACGTCACTCAGTAATTATTCCAGTACAGTTCAGTTCATTAAGCCGATCGGTACAGTGTTTGTTATGTAAGGAACCCAGCAGGTTGCATTTTATTCAAATAAATCAGTAAATGTCAAGAAAAAAACCCTAATGTTTCCTCTTGCTGTGGACCCACCAGCCACTCAGTGCTTCTGTCTCTAATATTTAAAGGTGTGGGAAACTCATTTAATCAACACGTTTGCAGTGGTCTCTGGTAGGAAACAGAAACGGGTGCTTCAGCACACACAAGTCTGCTGCATCAGAGGAGAGCTTAACACAGCAGGATTTGGAGTCCTATTTCCTGATATTTGGACATCTCACCTCAGATTTGATAACAGCAACACAACTCTACCGCTCACTGCTTGCTCTGCGACATGGATGTATTATCTCCACAAACGACACAAGCCTGAAGGAGCTCCTGCCATGCGGTTGAGCTGCTAATACTAACGGTTAGCTTTTGTTGGCCGAGATGTTCTCTGCTGATTCTGAACGATAAAACAGCAACAGCCTTCCCCGTCGCGAGCCAGTACGGGTGAGTCCGAGCAATATAGCTCTGTCGGGCTTTTCGCCGTCCATCAGAAGCTAATGCAGGAGATAGGTGTAGGAGACTATTTTCATGTTCAACCTGCATGAACAACTCGGAGTGACCCTTTCTAATCAGAAATAATCATTAAAAATGGTTTTATAGTGTTCCACACCTGAGAGTTGTTACCAAGTTTATGGGTCAGGTGTTTGTTAGCCGAAACAGTCTGCTAGTTCTGCTTTGTGTTAGACTGGAAACTCATACGTAACGCTGGATGTGTAGATGGGATCCGATCTGAAGGGAAAGCAGTGAATGCAGAGGAAACGTCCTCCAGTGCTTCTCTGGCTTCAAACAACAACGCTGGGATGAGTAAGGGGTGATGCATGGCAGTGTGAATTATCAACAGTTCGTGTCTACTGAGCTTAAATGGTGATGCAAAATCTAACAACTGTAGACAACAAATACAGGAAAACTAGAAATTGCTTGTTTGCTAATAAAATTATGGTCAATTTTCTACTTTTCTTGTGGGAGAAATTTGTTTTTAATGTCAGATGAATGCAGTTGGATGATTGTTGAGTCAGCCCTCGGAGCCCCAGTGTCAGGATTAGTCAGCGCTGCTGCTGTTGTTGTTTATCCCTCCTCCCCTCCAGGAGACCTCCACAGTCTCTCTTGTCTTGTCCCACCTCCCATTTCCTTTTCTCGGGTTGTCCTTCCCTCCTGTGAAATGGAATGAAAAGGTCAGATTCTCTCATTTTCCGCCTGTCATTTCCATTTCTAATCCTCCAAGCTTGTCTTGGCTCACACCAATGGTGCAGAGCTTCCACCCACAGAACAGCATGCTGCAGTCGCTGCCAAACACCGCCAAGCTTTTTGTGAAAGAGAAGAACCACAGGTGAATGTGACAGAGTGGGAGCCAGTCTCCCCATTCTTTGTATACGGAGAATGTATCAGCATTTATCAAAGTGGAATGAATCAAAATGAGCAGATTGCTTTGTAAAGTAAAAAAATTGGTTTGATTGTTTTAGATTTTGGGGCTGCACAGTGGCGCAGTGGTTAGAGCTGTTGCCTTGCAGCGAAAAGGTCCTGGGTTCGCTTCCCGGCCTGGGATCTTTCTGCATGGAGTTTGCATGTTCTCCCTGTGCATGCGTAGGTTTTCTCCGGGTACTCCGGCTTCCTCCCACAGTCCAAAAACGACTGTTAGGTTGATTGGTCTGTCTAAATTGTCCTTAGGTGTGAGTGTGTGTGCATGACTCCTGTGTGTCTCTGTGTTGCCCTGCGATGGACTGACTCTCTGTCCAGGGTGTACCCCGCCTGATTGCCCATTGACCGCTGGAGATAGGCACCAGCCCCCCCCCCCCCCCCCTCCCCCCCCTCCCCCCCCCCCCCCCCCCCCCCCCCCCGACCCCGCGTGGACAAGCGGGTTCAGAAAATGGATGGATGGTTTTAGATTTTGTTACACTAAATAAATTCCCTACTACAAGTTACAGACCAGAGGCTGATGTAACCAGGGGCGGCTCCAGAAAACTTTGATAAGGGTGGCCAGACAGGGCCAAAACACTTAATTCTAAGTTTTCAAACACAAACATTTCAGATTAATGCCTCCATCTAAAAGGCTAGGTTATCCGGAGTTATCTCTGTAGTTATGCTGCTATAGGCTTAGACTGCTGGAGGATACACTGACCACTTTCCACACTCTACTACTTTCTTCTACAATTTACTCTTTAACTGCTTTATTTCTTGCTATTTCAGATGTTAACTTTATTTTTTCTCTAAGTGTTTTTCTCCCCAGAAGAAGCTTCAATTATGGTCTGCTGAGCTGTGGTAGCCTCATGGACGGGGCCATTGTCTTGAACACTGTTGCTAACCACTTAAACATTCTCCCTCTCCTGATAATAACACTTTACTTTCTTTGACGTTGAATGTGCTACTACTAGTTTACCCGATGATAATAGATTCACTAGGAGAAATACAATAAAGTGTATCTCTCAGCAAGTAGAATATTTACTATGAAATCACAATGTAACCATATGGCCTGTATTTGATATAGTGTCTTCTAGAGTCCAGGACCCCCCCCCCCCCCCCCCCCCCCCCCCACACACACACACACACACAAGGCGCGTTACAACACAATCAGTCAATCACACACACACACACATTCGCTCCCTGGTAGGGATGAGCTACGATGTAGCCACAGCTGCCCTGGGGCGCACTGACAGAGCCGAGGCTGCCGAGTACTGGCGCTACCGGTCCCTCCAACCACCAGCAGGCAACTTGGGTTGTGTCTTGCCCAAGGACACAATGATAGACACATTACTTGTTATATAAGTTGTGTGTGTGTGCGTGTGTGTGTGTGTGTGTGTGTGTGTGTGTGTGTGTGTGTGTGTGCGTGCGTGCGTGTGTCTGCTCTGTCTTCTCGACCCCCAGTGAGTCGTGGAGGATGGCTGCTTATACTGAGCCAGGATCCTCTGAAGGTTTCTTCCTGTTAAAAGGGAGTTTTCCTCTCCACTGTCGCTAAATGCTTGCTTAGTATGAGGATTGCTGTAAAGTCGCTGACACTAGTCAGTGACTTGATGCGATTTGCTGGGTTCCCTATATAGGAAACTTACTCATTGGCTTAATGAACTGACCTGAATTGGAATGTTTACTATGTGAAGCGCCTTGAGACGACTCGTTGTGATTTGGTGCTGAATAGATAAACTTGAATTGAATTAATTTCCTGTTATTTAAAATGTTATTTCTAAATTTATTTCTAAATTATTATTATTTTTTTGCTTAGTTCACCTCTTGCTCACAAAATACTATGGAGATAAAAACTTTTTAAAATGATGAGCAGTAGAAACGAGTGTATTTTGTAATTCTGATTATTTTATTACTCATTAATTGTATAACTTTTATTTTGTTTTATATTTATCTCTTGAATAAATAAGATGAATTTATGGTTTGAGTGAACATTAACTCATTCACTGCCAGCCGTTTCCGGATCAGAAAATCCCTTCGCTGCCAGCATTTTTCAGCGTTTTCACAGTTTTTTTTAAGACTCACAGAACATTGCTCTCTATGATGATGTCGACGCCAAACCTAACAAAACAAAGACTCGCCTCTTACATCAGGAAAAATCTGTGCGTTTCGAGCGTTATCTGTTCTTTCATCATCCGTTGTCGAATTGCGATCGGCAGAAGCTTTTCTGGTTCGCGCCTCACTTTTTTTTACTGCAGCGGCCCAAAACGACCTCCAAACACATGGAATTTCTGCTTCCTGATCACGTGACGCGTGACATACGCAGATGAAGATCGGCTTTAGAGCTGAGATGTTTGTTCTCACAGTGCAGGGGCTCGTTCCGATGCCCAAACAGTAAAAAAAAAAATGCAATGACACAGCTTGATGAAAAAATTGTTTTTCACCTTGCATGTTTCGGCTAGTAAGTCTAGCCAGCATCAGGGTTAGCCGGTGTTTGTGGCGTCCCTTCCGTTCATCCTCATGCGGGCAGCAGAGGACGATGTCGCCCTCAGTTGCCCACCTCCTCCTTGCTGATGACACTGACCCATGCGTAATCCTATATGAACTAAACCTAACTGAAAAATATGCTACTGAACTAAATCATTCTTTATGTGGGGGTGTTTGAAGAAAAAGTTAAACATTTTAGTACATTATAATTTCCCTCTAATAAATGAAAATGTTGTTTTTTTCATGTTAGAGACAGTAAAATGTTAGAAACCATCTGATATCTGAAACTATCTTTTTACATTAAATTTCATATATTTTAGAATAGATGTTTTATGCATGTCAGGAAACTAAAACTTGCTTTTAAACAGCACATTCTGCTCTTAACCCAGAAGGACATCCATAATTTCACATTAAATGAAATGATTAAGTAAAACGACAGTTTACTACCTTAGCTCCGTACATTTCCCCAAACTCTAACCTGGAGCCATACAAGAATAATTTTATAATTTTATCAATCAATATTATAGAATTTATAAGACAACAAATGATAGTAACTAGAATTTCTGTGTAGTCTGAAAAAATGACTAAAAGGTAGATAGAGTAAACTTATGTCATCAAAATGATATGAAGATGTTTGACTTCATAAAGCCTTCCTTGCATTTGAAGAATCGTTTTCTCTTTCCTGTTCCCAGTCCTCTTTTTTTTTAAACTCTCCTACGTCTCCAGCAGTTGTGTCTTTATAAAGAAATCTATCCATATTCCCTCTCTGTTGTTGATTGGATGGATGTTGCGAACGCTGCAGACCTGTCAGTCATTCATCTCTTGGGGAGGCATTCTCATTGCCTCAGTTGGTGGAAGTGGCTGAGCTGAATGGTTGATTGGCAGAATTTACAGGCGGAGGAGACAGTAAAGAGAGATGCTGAGAAAGTAGAGCAGCTGAGCGGAGAGGAGAGGAAAGGAGGATGCAGAGCGTAAATAGTCTCTTTAGGAAACACAAACAAGTGGTCATAATGAAAAGAACATTGTTCATGCTGTGTGCCTGAACTTGGTACATGACAAAATGGAGAAACCAACATTTTTTTCACAGAACAACATCTGAATTTGGAGATAAAGCTTTGGCTTCTGAATTCAGCACAGCACTTTTTTCATTTTTAAAATAAACTGAGTAGGATGAACTGGCTTCCTGTGATTTGAAATATGGGATGTTGGCACAGTGTGAGCCGACCAAACGGTTCTGTCTGAGATGGCTGAAGACTAGTGGAACAGATCGGATTCAGAGGAATAAATAGCTCCTGGGAGGTGGGCGTGCTTTGTTAATATCCAGTAAATATGGTTGTGGTAAATTGTGCAAGACTATTGGCTCAGGTGAGTGTGTGGTCTGGAAGGGTATAATGTTGTGTAAGGCATATGTTGCTGCTTCTGGATTATGGAAAGCATTTATGTCATGTAGTCTGTCCACACCATTCAGGATGCTTTTCAAATCTGAGGATTTCTGATGCGGTTGTATCTCCAGTTTACACACCAAGTTTTTTTCTAAAATATGTAAGGATGGACAATATATCGGCATCAATATTGGTATCGACCGATGTCAGTCATTTTTTAACATATTGGTATCAGTTCGATAAATAAAACTGGGCCGATATTAACTATCGACATTTTTTCCATCTTGGCTCCATTTGTTTATCTGTTTCAGAGGGTGAGGGTGATGTGTGATTGTTTAGTCATGTGATCAGTGAATGAAATCATCTCAGAACCATAAAAGTGTGTGGTGTGTGCACATAACGCCGGGGACACATCGGCCACGGAAGCGTCGAGAAGCGAATCACTCACAAAATTCGGCCGCTGCTCGCTGCTCCTCAGTTCAGATCAGACGCGCTCCAGTCGAGGTGCGCCTCGGCTCAGCTGTAGTTTTTCTTTTAACTACTTGGTGTCCTCCATTTCCTCTCTGCCTTTTCTCGGCTCTTTTCCTCTACGTTTGAGTGTTTGTACGTGTGTATGTGTGTGTGTGTGTGTGTGTGTGTGTGTGTGTGTGTGTGTGTGTGTGTGTGTGTGTGTGTGTGTGTGTGTGTGTGCGTGCGTGTTTGTGTGCGTGCGTACGTGTGTGTGTGTGTGTCTGTGTGTGTGTGTGTGTGTGTGTGTGTGTGTGTGTGTGTGTGTGTGTGTGTGTGTCTGTGTGTGTGTGAGAACCTATGGTATGAACCAGGTGTTTCTGCCAGTTGAATCTCTTGGAACCAGCTCCAATTCTGCAACTGTATCCTAGCAGTTTCTTCCGAAATGAGTACGTAAATAACCATGTTTTTCGGGGGGCGTACAGCTCCTCGTGTTTCTCAACTTCCATAATTAATTTAAAGTCATCAATCTTAACTGCTTGCCTCAGACTTTCTGCCTCTCTGTCCTGTTTGCTCCGGTAAAAAGACACCCAAAACCACACCCCCTTCACGTGGTCACACACGCACACAAGTTCGATGTGTGTGTATGTGTGTGTGTGTTCATGTGGTTTTTCTGCAGTGTCTGATTACAAACGCATTTGACTATTGTGGAATTTTATTTTGAAATGCTTTATTTTGTTAAATTTACCAGCCTGCCTCTTATGTCTAGGTTTGACTTCCTCCCAGAATTGACGCGATTCACCCGCGGCTCGCGAGAAAAATAGAGCAGAAGCCGAAATGATCGCTGCACGGCGCGGGCTGGAGCGCGGGCGTGAGGCGATTCACGGCACTTCGCGGCCCATGTGGTCTATAGAATAGCTTAACAAGGGCGTTGAATGAAGGCGGTCCCATTTTCGCGGCGCTTCCACGGCCGGTGTGTCCCCGGCGTAATAACGTAAATTCAGCTTTAACAGTTTTCATTCTATACAAAGTCTGCTGATTTTAGAAGCATTAATGTCAGCATATCGGTATTGGCAAATATCAGTTATCGGCCATAACAGCGATCTTAATATTGGATATTGGTATCTGCCCAAACATTTCATATCGGTGCATCACTAAAAATATGTTGTTGTTTTTTTAAATACACCTCGGCTGAATGGGCTTTAAACAAGTCTCAATATGTGGAGTCATTCAGTCCATGGCAAAGTTGTCAAGTAACATAGTACGAATACTTTATCTTACTTGAGTAGAAATCCAGCGTATTCTGCTTCATTGGAGTAATTTTCTAGTCATCTTTTTACTTCTAGTCCGTACATTTCCACATCTGTACTTTCTACTCCTTACAATTAAAAAATAGCTTTGTAGCTATTTTGGCATCTCGTTGTCAAATAAAAGAAAACAACACAAAGACAAAATACCTGTCCAGATAAATCGCACCCTCTGGATAGAGTGAATTTTACTGTGGTTGGATAAAACTTTTAAACATGAACTATTTTGGCACCCGATTGGTTTGTAAAGGGGATGCTCGATATTCGCTTTTTCCCGATATCCGACATTGTGTCCCCTCTCGTAAAAAGATAATGAAAACATTTAAGATTACCAAGATCACATATTTCCTATCACACATGCTTAAACTTTAGACATTTTCTGTGCAGAAACAGAAACAACTACTTATATTTCAACACATTCTCACAGCCGAAGCTGTTAAAACCGACGCGTTGGGAGCCCCAACGTCTGGAGGTGACATGCCAGAGCCAGAGCATCGCTTTCCAACGCCCGCAGTAATTGCTATTTTACCTTCCCCTCACCCCCATCCTAGCCATAATCCACTTGTGCATGCAAAACTTTGTTTCTAGTTGCGTCGTCCATCTCAAACACGGTTAACGAGGTTTAGAAAGAGAAATTTTGAATTTTTTTTAAACCTTTTTCATGTTCATCTTTTGTATCCTGGTCCTGTTCCCAGACAATTTTGTTTGTGTGTAAAAGAGATCATATCTGAGAAGAAGCTGATGAGAAATATGAATTTGAAAGAATCTTTTAGCTAAGAGTCTTTGCTGCAGATTTAAGAAAAACTTGTTTTTAAAATCCTTCAAACAGTAAAAACACCACTGTAGTGAGTTATCAGTTTAATAATGACAAAATTAAAACAACCACCGTCACTCTGAGATCTAATTAGAATCAAAAATTTTATTTTACTTTTTTCAATAATTCCAACCAGTCAGAAAACATCCATTTTTAAAACGAAAGGAACGGAATCATTTGGAAACAAAGAGAATATGGACGATTATCAGACTAACAGCATGCAGCAACTTTCTTGGGCAAACAGGACATTTTTTTTTATTAAATATTGTAAGATACCAAGATTGAGGACAATTTGACAATAAAAACAGAAAATCTATAGCACATGAGGCCAAGCTCTGACCTCCAAGTTTGGGGCACTGGGGTCACGGCAGCCTTATCATACACATTTGATTCATTTGAAGTCGATATCATTAGGGAGTCAAATGAAGCAAATGGGGGGAAGATGTAATCAAGAAATATGCCAAACTTCAGGAGATTATGCAGATAATATCAGCAAGCTAAGTTGGCAATGATCCGGATGTTGATGGGCAAAGAAAAGCTGATGAGCAGGTTAGTTTTGGATTCAAGGCAGGTGTTGCCAAGATCGCTCCCACAACAGATTTGTCAGATAAATAGGTGTGATGATATTTTGCTGAAAAGCAAATGGCCGACCAGCTCGAGAATTTTTTTTTTCATACTAATGGAGCTGGAAATGGTGGTGTGGAGAGATTAGAGGTGGAAGTGAAGTGGATTAAAATGCCTGAGAGGGATGTAGTGGGAGATGTGACGCCAAGAGATGCATCAGGTGAAAGGTGGAGACAGAAAACTACGTTTCACGGTGGAGAGCTGCAGAAAACAAAGTGACCATCAAAACATAAGATTAGTCACACATTATGCTGAAAATACCAGCATGCATATTGTCTTTTTTATCCTTATAGAGACTGTTTGTGGATTTTGGAGCAGCAGTAGCTCAACAGGTTGAGCGGGTTGTCCAGTAATCGGAAGGTTGCAGGTTCGATCCCGGCTCCGGACAGAGAATTCTGCTGTTGTGTCCTTGGGCAAGACACTTAACCCACCTTGCCTGCTGGTGGTGGTCAGAGGGACCGGTGGCGCCTGTGCTCGGCAGCCTCGCCTCTGTCAGTGCGCCCCAGGGCAGCTGTGGCTACATCGTAGCTCATCACCATCAGTGTGTGAATGAGTGTATGAATGGATGAATGTTACACTGTACTGTAAAGCGCTTTGGAGTCCTTACTCTGAGAGGCGCTATACAAGTGCGGGTCATTTATCATTTAAACTTTATCCTAACCAAACCCTGGAGCCCATGGCATCACTTTGATGTATTTGCCGACCGTCATCCACCAGCGGGATAAGATAAATGTGCTGCATTGGTGACAATGTGCAATTCTCTTCTAAGGTGCCAAAGAGGTGAATGCAAGTGGGAAGACATTTACAGTGTGGAGCTCTCTGCAGCTGCACGTGGACAGAAATGATGATGGAGTGGCCTACACCTGCAGAGTGGACCATGTGGCCCTGGCACAGGCACCACAACAGGCCACCGAAGTACTGGAGGTCCACTGTGAGTGTGCATCCACAAGCACGAGCACTCAGGCATAAAGTGGGGAGGAAAAACAGAAAAAATGAGCAAAAATTGAGTTAACTATATTGTAAATATATAGAAAGTGGAAAACTCTTATGTGGTGGTGGAAGGTGTCTCTTTTAGATGTTTGTATCTGTGCTTGTTTAAATATTAGCATTTGGTGTTTTTAAAAGATGCCGTGCACCTGAAAAAATGTTTATTATAATTATTCTACTTAACAATTCATTTTTGCTTTACACAAAATACTGATTAAACTATATTTGTATATAATATAAAACAACCTTGTCAGTACTCACTTGGGTCCAATTTTCTGTCTGTTCTAGATGCTCCTCGTGTGGAGATCATAAAGTCCAACACAGTCCCTCAGGAGGGACAGTACTTAAAGCTGGAGTGTGTGTCCAGAGGAAACCCGTCGTAAGTTATATTCTGCATTGTACTCGCAACTTCTACAGGCAGCAGTTTGGGTTCTGTTCAACGTCTTCTCAAATTCTAGGCCAGATCCTGTGCTGTGGACGAAGGACGGCGGTGAACTTCCTGACCTGGACAGGATAATTGTGGAGGGGAGGGAGCTCACCTTTACTTCACTCAACAAGACAGACAATGGCACCTACCGCTGTGAAGCTAGCAACCACCTAGGAAAAAACAGTGCTGAATACGTGCTCTATGTCTACGGTGAGTTCGGGGGGAGTTTTGAGACTAAACCAAAGAAACCAATTTAATGCTGACTAATAATAGCAAAATATTAAACAAATTAAATAACAATTTTGATGCATATGATGCACCAACCCACTCTACGAAAACCAAGGTTGTTATAAAAAGTGATTAGTGGTGCCATCTCTCATAGGGGAATTATGGGCCTCGGGTAACACAAATGCCACCAATGGCTTTCTTTAAATAAACCAATGTCCCAGATCCTCCCCACACAGACACACACACCTAGAGGGAAATCTGTGAGGGAGGCAGAATTTAGTGCTGCGTTGTCAAGAATATCACGATAAGTAATTCCTGGTAACGCCAGAGGAGGCAAAGGATAAAGCGACTCACTGACAGGGAAAACAGAGAGCTTTTTCTTGCTTCTGTTTTCTGCTCACCCATTTGTCTCTTGGCATTAAGTATAAAAAACAAATAAATGAGCAGAGCGGTGACACTTAGCTTGTCCTCATAGATTTTTTTGAATGATGAATCAAAATAAAAACATGGTTGGTCAACAAAACCGTGTGTTAATATTAACACACCCTGTAACCCTGTAACTAACCCTAACCCTTATTAACACATGGGTAACCCGTTTATGAAATCCCATGCAAACTCTGCAATAAAACATACATAGGAGAAACCGGACGCCAACTCAACACACGAACAATAGAACATAGAAAGGAGTGCGAAAGAGAAACAAGTCGAAGACACACAAGAGCAGCAAAACAAGAAGCAGAAAGTACAATAAAGAAGTCAGTCATAACAGATCACTGCACAAGAGAAAACCATATAATGGACTGGGACAACACAAGGATCATAAACACCGAACAACAGAAATACAAAAGATGGATAAAATAAGCTATAGAGATAAGGAGACGTGGATGTGGGACCATGAACAGAGACGATGGAGTTTACTCATTGGATCGTGCATGGGACTGCATCATCGGAGAGGGGAGAGCAGGCAGCAGAGGGCGACAACGTCCTCTGCTGCCCGCAGATAAACGAAGTAGGAAGTGACGCCATCATCAGCGTCAGCTCTGAGGATGTTTTGCAGTCGCAAATGAAACTGTCAGCAGCAAGGTAAAGAGAAACCTTTCCTGTTGTAGCGTTGTGGTTTTATGCTCTTTTATGAAAGAGGAACCATGCTACGTATTAATTCGGAATATTAATTTTTAATAAATCAATAACCAACTTTTATATTGTTAAGAAGACTCAAAGGTTGTTTTCATCGATAAACTGACGATAATATCTGTGTGTCTGTGTTTCAGTTCAGCTGACCGCGTCATATCCACCAATAAAAATGTATCTTATGTCTCGTAAAGCGTTTTTTCAAATTAACATGAAATAACCTGAAGCTTATTTATTTCTTAAATCAGCATCACTGTTCAAATCATAACACAAACCACAAGTTTTAAGAGCTAGGTGAGTCAAAGCAGGAGCCTTAATGTCCCATAAATATACAGTAAAACCATCCAGCCAGCAGCCTGGTAATGACTTGGATCTTCATATTCAGCTTTGGTGATCAGTAATGAATGAATGCATTGCAAAAATATTATCTAGCACGTATTGTTTATGCTATGTGATCTTTTACAAACCGTTTTATACGCAGTAATAATAATTATGAGTCTGTTACTGGGATTGTTAGCTAACCTGTCCATTTATGCATTTAGAGCCACTAAAACAGGAATCAAGCCTGAGTGACTAATTATGCATACCATCTAATATTTATGATCTTTTTCACCTTTAAACATAAATCCTTTTTGAAAGCTGTGTCTGCACTGATACATGCAGGGAAGCCACTCCTGAACGTGATATTTTAACTGTAATAATGATTCACCAAGTCGCTATCAGAGCTTTTATCCACCATTTTCTTCATTCCCTTCTTATAAATTACCAAATGTAACGGCTTTGGTTTAATTAATGCGCTTTTTTTCCCACGTGCCATTTGTCTGCTCTTCCCAATTCTGTTAAATGCCAGCCGAAGCTAACAACAAGAATAACCAATGCACGTAATGACGCAGATGATATTGCACTGACGGATTCTGCACCACAAAGAGAAGACTTCTGGGTACGGGCAAGTCAAAGAGGCCCATTCAGATTCATTACTTGTTCGCCTGAAATGGCACCAAGCCTGCTTCTACCCTTCATTAGTGATTAGCACACCTTTTAGCCTTTTACAACTGCCTCCATAATTCTTGAAAAATACCTTTTTAATGGTTCCCCCTCCAACAGGGAGACGTTTTCTCTCGTCCCCATTTCCTGCAGACATGCAGTTAGCTGCTCTGTGAGTCACGCTGAAATGTCACCGAGACACAGAGGACAGTTGGCCTAGAGAAAGACGACCGCAGCCAATTAACAGCCTCTAGCTCACCATAAAATGCAGAGTGACACAAACATTAAAGCCAAGGTGGTAGTGTAACCTCATTAACTTGGTCACACAATGTTTCAGTGCTTTTTCCCCCTTTTCTTTTTTTGCTTCAGCATATTATTGAAAAAAGAAAAAACAGTAACTTCCTAGCATGAAGCCTGACACAGAACGCGATAAGGATGGCTTAGCTGCCTTTTCTCTAACCACTTTTAGAAATGTGTAATTTGTACAGATCCTTTGTTGAATTATTGTCTTCATTAGATGGACTCCAACTTTCTTTCTCCAGAGGCATGAGCCAGTAGGAGCAGATTTAAGGTTGATTCTGTTCCGTTGCTTCAAAAAAACCAGATGCTTACATTAAGACAGTCATGTTAAACATACTTGTGCTTAAACTAAATATCTTTTAAAGGGTAAATTAAACCCATTAATTACGATTATTGTTCTAAACGCTGGATTATCCTGTAATAAAAAATCGGGGTGTATTTGCTTCTTGCCAATTCCCAAAGATTGGTTATTTCAATCATACAACCTCACTAGCTAGTAGGGATGTGTGTTGGTGAAATTCTGGCGATACGATACGTATCACGATACAGGGGAGACGATGCAATATATTGCAATACATTCAACCAGACGATATTAGCTATTTTTTAGACTGAATTTATTGTATGAAATTTCAATAAACAGTCCAAACTGATACATAACATGGTTAACATGAGGTTTCTGAACCATAATAGAGGGATTTACATTTCAGTGGTGGAAACAAAACCCATTGCACACTGCTGCCAACTAGCGGTTGGCCTTTGAATTGCACCAAAAGACAAGAAAATACATTGATGGTTGAATGTGCATTCTTCCAAAAACTCGATACACAGCTTTTAAATATTGATATATTATCGCAGGAAAACATATCACGATATTTTGCTATATCGATATTGTCTTACATTCCTTCTTGCCAGCTTGCACATGCTGGCTGATAACTTAAACTGTGATTTGTTTATGAATGACAGCATACGGCCTGAAACTTTACTATGAATGTTAGTTTTATAAAACTAAAATTGCATTTAACATATTTTTATCACAAATAAATGCTAGGTTAGCCTTAGCACAAGCAGCTAAGAGCTAGAGCTAAAAGAAAGCTATTTTAAACCTGCCCACGATTACCATAATGGTTCTAAAGAGAATCTTATCAGATAATCCTAGCTTTTGTGGTGTGTTACGAGCGCGCTGGTCTGCTTGGAAGGATGTTGCGACCACTCCGGTCTGAATTTTATGGATAAACGAATATGCTGCCAGTTGAGTGTGACGTGTAACCAATCAGAAAGTGAGATAACGGAAGCATGTAGTATGTTCCTCCTCTGCAATGATTGTTTATTTCAAAGTCACGTTTTACATAGCAAGATTTTGCATCTGGGCAGGGATTACCATACCATACCAGTTTATTTATAAAGCACGTTTAAAAATAGCATGGCAGCTAACCAAAAAACTGTACGGGAGAACGAAAGACTCACACAACAACAAAGACAGCATAGGAGTAAAATATAAAGCTAAAATCATAGAACACACATAACAGCAAGGCATACATTTGCAATAAAAGTTAACTAACCATAAAACAAGTAAAAGCACTGAGATAAGAGTTAAAAGAGAAACAAGTAAAAACTAACTGAGCAACATTAGTGAGCTAAAAAGTACAGAAGAATATCACAAGCTGCCGCTAACAAAGAAGTATCCCACTAACGAATGAAGACAGTCATGTCGGAAAAGCCAGACTAAAATAGTGTGTTTTGAGGGCAGACTTAAACCTACAAGGGGAAGGTGCCTGACACGCCTTCCCCTTGTAGGTTTAAGTCTAAGTGAATGTCCGTGAGTGAAAGCGGTTCATGTGTAGAATTTGCTGAGCTGCTGCACACCGCATGCTGTAGGACAAAAACCGGTATAGCCGTGATTTTTTTATCACCACGTGTGTGGTCTCTTGAAAGTCAGTCGACAATTTAAAAATCCTGCTGTGTGAACTGGGCTTAGAACAACTTCCCCATTTAACAATTTAATGAAAAATAGTGCTACGCTTGTTTAAATTCCCTTACATTTCACATTTCTGGAATCCTGATCAAACTTCCTAAAATTCTGACACAAAGCTTAACTCATTCACTGCCAGCCGTTTCCTGATCGGTAAAGCCCTTCGCTGCCAGCGTTTCTCACCGTTTTTACTGTTTTTTTACAGTGACAGAACGTTGCACTCTAGGGTGATGTCGATGCAACACAATCAAAACAAAGAGGAGACTCACCTCTTACATCAGGAAAAATGCTTCTAGCGTTATCCGTTCTTTCATAATCCGTTGTTGAATTGTGATCGGCAGACGCTTTTCCAGTTCGCGCCTCAATTTTTTTTTTTACAAGAATGGCCCAAAAACGATCTCCTAACACATGGATTTCCTGATCACGTGACGTGTGACGTATGCGGATGAAGATCGGCTTCAGAGCCGAGATGTTTGTTCTGTTGGCGCGGGGGCTCGTTCCGATGCCCAAACAGTAAAAAAATGGTAATGACGACTTTAGTCGTCATTGGCATTGAATGAGTTAAAATAATCATGACATATTTTTAGTAAACTGTGCAAAAAGTGATTTTTAAGAAAGTAAAAACAGCCACATAATTAAACATTTTTTCTTATTTTTAGTTTAAAAAGATAATAAATTCTTCTGTAGAAATTAGCATCAATCAAAATAAGGTCAAGGTCCAAAGTTTCTTGTTTTGAGTAAAATATTCTTCCCATGTGGTAAGCAAAAGTTGCTTTGCTAGAAATCTTAAACCAAAAAAGAATTTGATTATTTTGCTAGTTTTAAGAATTTTAGCCAAGCCACTCTTGCTTAACCTCAGATTTTATTTTTTTCCACAAAACAAGAAACTTTGGACCATATTTAAGAAAATTCACCTTATTTTAAGTAATGCTATTTTTCTAGAGGATAATTTGTTTTCGTTTTACACCAAAAAAATAAAAAAAATAAAAACTGATAAAATGTCTAAATAATTGTTTGATTTTTTTTTTTTTTTTTTTTTACTTTCTTATCAATCCTTTTTTGCAGTGTATTCCCCAGAATTCCTCAAGTTAAATCATCATAATCAACATTAATGTGATGGGTACATTTCAGACAGATGGAAACAGATGACAGTAATAATCATTTACAGTGTTTGTTTTTCTGTTTTAATTCATTGGTGGTGTATTATTTTTTGTGTATATGTGTGTGTCTGTGCCCTCCACCAGACGTCCCCACCACCCTGCCTCCATCCACCACTCCCCCCCAACATCCCATCCCTCCAGATCCCACTGTTCAGTTAGGCACCCACGCCTCAGACCCCACAGTCACTGGCAGCAGAGGTACAGTAACACCCCACACATCTCTGCAGCGCCCTCCGCATGCTTCTGTGTAGCCTCTCACTTTCAAACCTTCTCTCTCTGAACACATTCCTGCACGAATACTCGTAATTAAGCTTTTCACCGTGTTCGCCTTTTTAGGATTCTAAATAAAATGTGTGGGTTTTTTGGGCTAATTATAATGTGCATGCTGTAGGTTAACACATTTGCCTCTGTCCCTTTGGTATCCCAACTATCCATCCATGCTCTTAAGCACAAGAGAATCAAATGTCATGACAGGAAATCTGAGTTAAGAGATAGATGAACACTTCATATTTGCTGATTTTACATAATCTGTTTCTTTACTGTTTGCATTATCATGCTTTATGATTTATAATGACTTCTACAGGCCCCTTTTGGGGTATTAAAAAGCAAAAAACTCTTTAACTCACAAAAAAGTAACTTTTTGTGGAAGATTGCGCAAGAACAAATAAGCTCGTACCACGGATTTACATTTCCCAGCAATATTCTTCAGCTTACATTTAGAACACATGTCGCATTGTGCTGATGAGCTAAAGACTAGGTTGTCCTCTGTTTTGGTCATCAAGTTGTTGGCATCGTTTACATTTGCAGAGTGTTTTTGTGCAGTAAAATGAGCCTTAGCCTCTTGAAGACAGTTTTTTTTCCTTAGCACATCCAGAAAAACTGGCTCTGCATTTAAAAGAGCAAGTGGAGTTGTTTTGGGCAAAGATCCCTACTGGAAGCCTCTCTAAGGGGGGCAGCCAGGCATGTCCAAAAATACTGAAGGGATTGCATTTCCCCCCTGACTCATGAAAGCATCAGAATCCTTCAGGAGGAGCGGGAAGTCTTGGCTGGGGATAAGGATGTTTTGGCATCCCTCAGTCCTAGATAAACTGCAGTAAAAAAGAGAAATAAAGAAAGTATTGCAAACCCTTGGAAAGGTATTGCTATTTTAGCCTATTTTTTATGTTACGATACAGTAATCTGCTGCAGATTTTCAATAAAAGAATATTAAAGTAGTGCACTATAATTTGGCTGTGCAAAAAATGAACATTCATTTATCTTGGTTGTAGTTTGGAAAGTTTTCACAATTAGGTTTCCTTCAGCCAACTGCATGAAGCGACAGTTTTTGACATAAATTAACACAATAATGTAATTGTGTTGCTCTTACTGCAGCATTTTCTAACCAGACCTGTGGTTAAACGTCAAAACAGACACTAATAAACTGTCTGTGTCTTAGATTTTGCATAATCTTCCAAGCAGATAAATTCCCTTTAAATCTGTATTTTTGCTGTATAGATGTAACTGAGATTACCTCTAGGTTTCTCTTTGCCCCATCTCCTCTCTCCTCTCAACTTCCTGGTGTTCCAGAAACCTCATCTCAGAATAATTTCTCTTCATCACCACTCTTCTCAGTGAATTACCATTTTTTAAGTCCCCCAGGAGTCTTGATGCCCCCTCTACATAATCCTTTGCATTCTTCTTGTTTCATTTTTTTCCTGTCCTCCTTTGTGTCCCATCCTCCAGTATCACATCTCTCCTGTTAGATAACTGTTGGATGCTCATCACCACCCCTCATCAGCGTGCCTCTACTCTGTCCTGGTGGTTTTGGTTGAGCAGGGACACCGAAGGAGCTGAGCTTCTCTGTGTATCTTTAAGGAAAATCTAAATATAAATCAAATATCAAACTCCTCCGCTGCATTCTCACTCACAGGATAACACACTATCTGTTTTCATGTGTCGACTTGATTTATTACCCGCTCTTTTCACAGGCTCTGCATGAAAGCAAACACACGAGGAGCTACATGAGCCCTCGTGATGTTTTTGTCCTTTTAATAGAGTCGTCTGCCTGTGCAGGGGTAAAAAGACAAACTGAGGCTTCAGCTCTATAACATGTATGCAGACTATCAGCAGATTAGGAGGAGCTTTAAGGCCTACATTTTGCTGGTTTGCTTGCATTTTGCAAAATGTACCAAATTAGGCTGAAACATATGATAAAAAAGTTAAATCATCCAATGAGACATGAAACTTATTCACTTTATTAGTGTTGTCTTAAAGCTGAATTGTTTTCATACCACTTTCCCAACTTACTTGAGAGTTCCATAAAGAAAAATATTAGATAATAAAACAAACAAAAAGCCATTCTAATTGATTTCTTTATGTATTAATGCACCATTTATACCTTTGAATTCTGTTTTATTCAATAATCTCCCCTGCGTAAGTGTATAAATTGGCAAAAAAAAAAGAAGTGAAATCAAGTACTCGCACAAATACCTCTTTATTAAAACATGTAGCACCGTTTCCGCAGTAAATGCAAACAGAATTGGAGTTTTTCATTTAGATATAAATATAACATGAATAGTCTGCTTTTTTAGGAGGAAAATCAATACTCAATGTAAAAATGCATGCATTTCAAAATGAGCGTTACATTTAATAATTGATTGTTTTTCTACGTTGCTTTTTTTTTTACCCATGAAGGGCCAAATAAAAAAAATGACATAAAACACATTAATTCCATCCATGTTTGTATAGATTGTACATTGCTGACTCTGTTTTGATTCACTGATAAAGGTTTAAAGCCCTTTTTTGTACTGATGAGAAGCCATAGAAAATAGTTTTTAATGTTTGTGACATCACTGATCAGCGACAAAAGACGTCCACGGATATTAAAGCGTGGACATCGGGGGCAGTCCCACTGGACTGGCAGACCACAGGGTGTGTTCCAACTACAGGGGGATCACACTCCTGAGCCTTCCTGGTAAGGTCTATTCAGGGGTTCTGGAGAGGAGGATCCGTCGGATTGTTGAACCTCAGATTCAGGAGGAGCAATGTGGTTTTCGTCCTGGCCGTGGAACACTGGACCAGCTCTATACCCTTAGGGGGATCCTGGAGGGTGCTTGGGGATTTGCCCAACCAGTCTACATGCGTTATGTGGATTTGGAGAAGGCGTTTGACTGCGTCCCTCGGGGGGTCCTGTGGGGGCCCTGTGGGGGGTACTCCGGGAGTATGGGGTACCAGGCCCTCTGATACGGGCTGTTAGGTCCCTGTATGACCGGTGTCAGAGCTTGGTCCGCATTGCCGGCAGTAAGCCGGGCTCGTTCCCAGTGAGAGTTGGACTCCGCCAAGGCTGCCCTTTGTCACCGATTCTGTTCATAACCTTTATGGACAGAATTTCTAGGCGCAACCAAGGTGTGGAGGGCATCTGTTTTGGTGGCCTGAGGATCAGGTCTCTGCTTTTTGCAGATGATGTGGTCCTGTTGGCTTCATCAGAACGTGATCTTCAGCTTTCGCCGGGGCTGTTTACAGCCGAGTGTGAAGCAGCTGGGATGAGAATCAGCTCCTCTAAATCTGAGATCATGGTCTTGATTTGGAAAAGGGTAGAATGCCTTCTCCAGGTCAGGGATGAGATCCTGCCCCAAGTGGAGGAGTTTAAGTATCTCGGGGTCTTGTTCACGACTGAGGGAAAACTGGAGCGTGAGATCAATCGGCGGATTGGTGCTGCATCTGCAGTGATGCGGGTGTTGTACCGGTCTGTCGGGGGTGAAGAGAGAGCTGAGTCAGAAGGCGAAGCTCTCGATTTACCGGTCGATCTACGTTCCTACCCTCACCTATGGTCATGAGCTTCGGGTAGTGACCGAAAGAACGAGATTGCGGATACAAGAGGCCGAAATGAGTTTTCTCCGAAGAGTGGCTGGGCTCTCCCTTAGAGATAGGGTGAGAAGCTCGGTCATCCGGGAGGGGCTCCGAGTAGACCCACTGCTCCTCCACGTCAAGAGGAGCCAGTTGAGGTGGCTCGGGCATCTGGTCAGGATGCCTCCTGGACGCCTCCCTGGTGAGGTTTTCCAGGCACGTCCAACCGGGAGGAGACCTAAAGGTAAACCCAGGACACGGTGGAGAGACTATGTCTCACAGCTGGTCAGGGAACACCTGAGATCAGATATGTAGGATGGAGCCAGGTTATGGAGAGCTTTGAATGTGATGAGCAGAATTTTGAAGCTGATTCTCTGTTTAATGGGCAGCCAATGAAGTTGTTGCAGAATGAGGGTGATGTGGTGAGATGAAGAAGTCCTAGTGATGACACCTGCTGCAGCATTCTGGAGAAGCTGCAGCTTATGGAGAGATTTGCTGGGGAGACCAAAGAGAAGTGAGTTGCAAATAATCAGTCATGGATGTGACGAGGCTGTGGACAACGATGACAGTGGTGGAGGGAGTAAGTGATGGGCAGAGATGGGAGATGTTACACAATTGAAAATAAGCAGATCGGGTAATATTGTTGATGTGAGATTGAAAAGAAAGTGCTCTGTCGTGGATGGCACCCAGCCTCTTTACACGAGAGGAGGGAGTAACTGCTGAGTTATCAATAGAGATGGGGAAACTGTTAGATTTGGAGAGAATATGAGGTATGCCTACCAGGAGCACTTTAGTTTTAGATCTGTTCAGTTTGAGAAAGTTGGAAGTGAACCAAGAATGGATTTCTTTGATACAGAAGGTAAGGGAGGAAGGTGGAAGTGAAGTTGAGGGTTTGGTTGAGAGGTAGAGCGGGGTGTCATCTGCTTAGCAACAAAAATGAATGTTGTGTTTACAGAAAGTGTGACCTAGTGGGAGAAGGTAAATGATAAAAAGAAGGGGCCCCAGGACAGAGCCCTGGGGCACACCAGCAGAAACAGGAAAGAGATTGGATTTATATGACTTCAGTTGACTGAAATGTGTACGGCCAGAGAGGTAGGAGGTGAGTCAGGCAAGCGGAATGTGAGTGATGCCTATGGATGACAATCTGCTGAGGAGAGTGCTATGGGAGATGGTGTCAAATGCTGCTGTGAGATTGAGAAGCATGAGAATGGACAGTACACCAGAGTCAGAAGCAGTGAGAAGGTCGTTGGTCATTTTGAAAAGTGCTGTTTCAATGCTGTGAATAGGACGGAAGCCAGATTGACATTGTTCATAGATATTATTGGTGATGAGGTGGTCGTGAAGTTGAGAGGCAACAGATTTTTCAAGAATTTTGGAGATAAAGGGGATTGGAAATAGGGCGTAGGTTATTGACGTTTGTGGGGTCTAAGCCAGGTTTCTTCAGAAGAGGTGTAACCATTGCAGTTTTGAAGGTTGAAGGGACAATTGCAAAACTTAGGGAGTGATGAATAATGTTGGTTATGAGAGGAGCAAGAGAAGAGAGGAAGGTTTTAACAAGAACTGTAGGGAGTGGATCGAGCTGACAGGTGGAGGGTTTGGATTTGAGGATAAATTTTGTGATGTCATGGACTGAGGGAAGGATGAAGGTGGAAAATGTAGTTGAATGATGTGGGGAGGGGAGAGTGATGTCCACTTTGGAGACAGAAGCACTGTGAGAAGCTAGATGTTGATGGGTGTCTGTGATTTTTGAAACAAAAAATGACAAGAGGGAGTCATCCTAGATAGCTTTGCTCCTGTTTCTTTGCCTGAGTTAACCAAACTAGTTAACTCTATGAAGACCTCTGCATGCACCCTTGATATCTTACCCTCATCTTTGTTTAAAAATGCTTCTCAGTCCATCGGTCCCAGCGTGCTCTCTATAATTAATGCTTCTCTGGTCTCTGGTCAGGTCCCTGCTTACTTTAAGAATGCTGTAATCCACCCGCTTCTTAAAAAACCGAGTCTCGACCCCTGTCTCCATAGCAGCTTCAGACCCATCTCTAAACTTCCGTTCATCTCCAAGATCTTGGAAAAGGTTGTGGCTAAACAACTCACAGCTGCTCTTGATGAACATAACATCTATGATAGCTTACAGTCAGGTTTTCGTAGAGCTCATTCTACTGAAACAGCTCTTCTTAGGGTCTCTAATGACCTTCTGACTCACAGTGATGCAGGGGACTGTTCTGTTCTGGTCCTGCTGGACCTGACTGCAGCCTTTGACACTGTTGACCATCGCCTGCTTCTGGAGAGGCTGAGATACTGGGTAGGCCTATCAGGATCTGCTCTGGAGTGGTTCTCCTCTTATCTCTCTGAGCGCTACTTTTCTGTGGCCGTCTCCAAGTTTAGGTCCTCCACCACCTCTCTTACCCATGGTGTCCCACAAGGTTCTGTGCTGGGGCCTCTGCTCTTCCTCCTCTACCTGCTTCCTCTTCAGCACATCCTGAGCTCCTTCAAAGGAATCTCCTACCATCTTTATGCAGATGACATCCAACTGTACATCTCCTTTAAGCACCATGAGATGTCTAAGCTGCAGCTGTTACACACCTGCTTAGACTCTATCAAAACCTGGATGGCTGGGAGTTTTCTTCAGCTGAATGAAGATAAGACTGAGATCCTCATCTGTGCCCCAGACAAGCTGGTTCCCAAAGTCAGAGACTCGCTTGGTCAGCTTGCTTCCCACACCAAACCTTCTGTCAGGAAACTTGGCATGACCTTTGCCCCAGCTCTCACTCTGGATTCTCATGTCAGTTCTCTTGTTCGCTCTTCCTTCTTCCATCTCAGGAACATTGCTAAGCTGAGTCCCATTCTGTCCCACTCTGAACTTGAGACAGTTATCCACACCTTCATCTCCTCACGCTTACCCGTTCTTTCCACCGGAGCCGTCAGCAGCACGTCTTGCTCGCATAAGCTGCTGCTTGACCCTTCCCACGAGACGCAAAGCAGCAG